TGTTTTCCACTTTCAACTGCCAGTAAATTAAACATATTTAAATTCAATATCATGTGTCCTCTGTTGGAGCCGTTCAACCATTTAAATCATCTGGAGACTGTTCTGTTTGTGTCCGAACCGCATTTTCAAGGTTGTGTCCAGTGATGGCAACAGCAGTTGTGTTGATTCCAGGTCGTGGTGTTGACTTTATATTGCAGTGAAAAAATATCAGCACACAGTGAGTAAAAATGCTGCAGAGCTTCTTTTTTTTTTTTCCCCACCGGGGATCAATAAAGTTTTATCCTCATCGACAATATTACTCCATAATCTGTTTGTTGTTTTGTATTGTTAAACTAAAACTGCAAAATAACTAAAGCTGTCAAATAAATGTGGGACTGACATAGCAGACAACAGAAACACTCCAGTAAAACACATGACAACAGTTTCCTGTCTGCACACGTTTGAGAATCTTTGACCAGAAAACACTGAAAACACAAGTCAGATAAGATAATCAGTGGTCACCTCATGCATCTGCAGGTTGGTGTTGGAGGCTCTGATCTTGGCTTCCAGGGCGTTGTGGGCGTTGGACGTGTAGTTCTTCAGACTGCGACTCTCCTTCAGGTGGGCTTGAAGCTTCTCTCTGCGCCTCCTGCAGGAGAACCAAAAGAAAACCAAGCGAAAGTTGAGTTCAGGTGAGTTTTGACCACAGATGACTCAACAACATTCCCAGAACGTTGCAGCCAGAATGTTCCACCTTCGTTAATAAATCATACAAATCATCTGGAAAACACATTTTAAATGTTGGTTCGAGAACGTTCCTCCTTTGTCATCATGGGACATAAACTAACAAAAACCCCTGAATGTCGCATTAATGTTATAGGAAAACATTCTGAAAATGTTCTTCTTTGAACATTTGATTAAAACATCTCCTTCAAAAGTTTATCAGAACTTTAATGTTCTCCAGAGTTGTGGGAACGTTCCCTGGCAGCAATATTCAAACTGTGAAAACAAGCAGAATCCTCGATGCGTTCACGACTTTCTTTAATGTTTGCATTCAAAAGAAAACGAGTCAGCGGTCAAGGAGAATCGTGTTCTATCAGCGTCTGAGGAGGAAAACAAACCACCTGAGGAAGCCTCTACCTGCACAACCCCTCTCCTTAATTGCTCCCTGAACAGTAATTAAAAGACCTGCAGTTTACAACGACGCAACTTGACTCCGTTTAATAACTCGTGTCGAGACGTTCTGATACGTTTGAGTCTTTGTGAGATTTATTGCGAAACAAGCCGAAGTCATTAATGAGTTTGACCCTCATCTCCGAGCTGCCTTCAGGACAAAAAGGTCCGCGGATAATCACGGCGGAAGAAGTGGAATAATTACGCCCGATTCCCTCCATTCATGTGCGAGAAGCTCGGCTGGTTCGTTGTTCTAACCAATCACGTGCTCCTGATTGTTCCAGGTTCAGTCAAACCGACCTGCAGGTGGAGGCGTGAACCTCCTCGCGTCGTCATTGTTCCAGAGGTTTGCTCGTTATCTGATGGATCCTCCCCGTCCGCTGAACGACAGCCGTGGAGTGAAGTGTTTACCTCGCGCTAAGTTCCTCTCCTTCCACCTCGGCGCCACTTTAATTATATTTTCTCAGAGCAAGGCTGCGACATTTGGCGTCGCACCACTTTCGGAAAGAAGCGTTTGCTTAATATGAAAGGTCCATTATCTCCTCTAAAGCCGCCTCACAATCTGCTTGTTTATTTGATGCTTTAGCGCGCTAAAGGGGGGAAGCGGCTCTTTACGACGGAAGCATATGCTTTTCACCGCAGTCAAAACAAACATCGACTCTTTATGTTTGCAGGGAGACGTGTCGTAGATCAACTCGCATCCCCCCGCTGCTCGGGAGAAAGTTTGGCTTTGTTATCCCCAAACTAACTTCCTCCAACTCATTCACTGGTGATGAATAAATCAGCAGCTGCTCGGGAATAAATCCGACTGATTTGAATGATGTTCTCCAGAACCGCTGACTTTCTGGAAGCAGCCTGCAGCTACAGTCGAGTGGAACGTTCCCACCTCCGACTTCCAGCGACGCTTCAAAGTTTTAATCTGATGCTCAGAGAACAATTCGAGGATATTTCTCGTTTCCAATAAAGTTCCTGCAAAGTTAAAAGTCAACTAAACGGCAACGTCCAGACAATGAAAAAGAAACCAGCATGTGAAAAGTGTTCTCAAATCTTGTTGAGTCTGCTGCTGACAGAACATCTCGTAGAAAATGTCTCTGAGTCGCCATGTAGATCATTTTCCCGCAATGTTCTGAGGATGTTGCTGAGGAACGCATTAAAGAACGCTGTCACACCATAACAAAGGAAAGACGTTCTAAATGTAACACTTGGGAAACGTTTTAAGAATATTGGTGCACAAAGATGGAACAACGTCTTTAGAGAACGTTATCCGACTTGAAGAGAACATTGCGGAAACTAAAAGTAAGTCTTCTGCTGAAAACATCGCAAGAACTTTCCAGAACGTTCTTATAACAGCAAAACAATAAATTCTAGAGAGAAGAAACAAACCCATCAAGTAGTGAAAGTCTCCGCTAACGTCACTTACACGTTCTAATGACGTTTTAAAGAGAACGTTTTAGTCTAATGTTCCAACAACATTCTAAGGATGTTCGTCATCCCTCTGATGTTCCCATGAGGTTAAAAGTCAACTACAAACAGACATAAAGGGTGAAGTGATGATTTAAAGGTTCTCTAAAGTCCCGTCACTGCGTTAGAACCGTAAACCTCGTAGAACACAGAATTAAATCAGAGCTCATGTGAACGTTTGTGGGATCCTAAGAGTTAACGTGAACGTGAACGTCCTAAAACCAGTCAGCAGGTTTGATCAGCACATTAACTTCAACAAATTACACGCAGAAAAATGACTACATGTAAAACTGTAATATTTATTTAAAAATCTCTTCATTTTGCCTGTTTCATTATATAGTTTACTAAAAGTCTTGTAAGTTTGCTCCAGACTGAGTGACTCAGCTGCTGTCCAGAGTCACATGGAAAAGAGGTTTTCGGTTGAACTGCAGGCTGTGTTTATGTGGAGCAGTAGTAATAAAATATCTGTAGGATGGAGGAATACAGGAGCATTGTTTTCTGGTTTTGGTAACTATTGGGAGCACTTGGACGAAGGTTGTACATGCTAATAATAATAATAGTAATTATAATAATAATAATAATAATAATAATAATAATAATAGTAATTAAAAAACAAAAAAAATCAAGGAAATTTGACTTTTTGTTGATCGAGGTTGGAGGCAAGTACGAAATAACAATAATAATATAACAAACATATAGCATGTAGAGCCACTATTTTATTTTTTCCAACACTGGTGACACTCATGGACACTTGTCTTCCAAGTTTTTTAACTTTTTTGCTCAATAAATCATCAATAATTTCCACTTTTATTATTTCTTTTTCTGTGTTTTGTGACATTTAACTGCATGATGCTGCACAGACGACGTTCTTCCTCCTTTTTCGTGGTTATTGTGTTTCTGTGGAGCTGCAGGACTTTTTATTGCAGTGAAAAATGAACCTACAGTGAAGAAACACGAGGACAGTAAAAGCATGAAATCAGCACTTTAACCTCATTGTTTGAATGTGTTTGCTGAGATACCAACAGTAGAAGGTGTGTCAACTGCACACACGCTGTTACCGTTTACAGAGTTTGAATCATTTATCTTTCACTCTGTCCGGAAACCTTTGAATTTCTCGGGGTCGCTCAGATTTCCTCTGTGCTGCAGATCTTCTCCATCTAACCCACCCACCACCACCACCTCCCACCGCCTCGGTTATGGATTCATCGAAAGCTCCTGTCCATCACGCCTTGATCCGATTATCTTGTTGTCAGGCTGCTCACTCACTCACATCATTATATTACGCAGCAAAGCCTATGGAATTACAGTGCCATCTATCACCGCACGCTCCATAAACCCCGAATGACACACCGGATGTCTGACCCGTCCTGCGCACGCTCGTCCGATATACCATTCATATGCCAATTACTATGCACTCGCATTAACTGCTGCCCTGCAGAGATGTGAAAACAGGCCGACGGAGAGCAGAGCAGGAGCCACACCGGCTGACCTTTCGGGTGATAATAGGCTATGAATATGTGCGCACGTAATGAGCTTTACAAATTGTCCCAAATACCCGGCCTGGGATTTGCTTCAAGATGTTTGATGCCTCAACAAGTTGCAGCGGCTAAATTAGCTAAACGTCTCCGCGGGCATTCGCTGTGCTGGCGCCCAGCAGGCCTCATTACCACACAAGTTTTTTTTTTTGTTGCTTACTTTGGGACCCGCGGTAGCAAAAATTTGTCATAAATATTATCAGTATAAAGCGAAGTTTGAAAGTAATAAAACCGGAGCGGTGCCGTTAAAGCGAGCGCCGGGAAAGTTGGGATGAAATTAGGTGTCACTGCGGCTAATTTACTTTCAATATATTCATGAGAAACGTTCACGTGTCACTTCTGAGCGAACTGGAAGTGGAGCCGAAACCCCCGAGAACAGCCCAGAAACCAACCTGTGGTGAAGACAGGTCACATACTGCTTTTATCTGATCGCTTTGAAAAGGTTAGACTAAAGAAAAAAGACGTTTATGACAACCTGGGCTCTGCTTTTTGTAGTTTTGCCCGTTATTTATTATTGTTTATGACAGTTTTGGTAAAGTGGTGAGATTTATAAAATTTTCTAATCTTTATAAATACAATCAGAAGCACCTGAAACGTAAAGAAACCTGCTCCGTGGCTCCGTGTAAATGCTGTGTATTTACAGGTAGCGTTTCTGTTTTTAATGAATGAAGCGCTTCGGTTTTGAGCTGCTTCAGTCTGCAGGAGGTTTGACGGCACACGGAGCGATTAGCGATTAGCTTCAGGTGCTATCGGCACTCGGTTTAACTGCGTTTGAACACGACTTTAACAAACCGCCGCTGATCGGACAACCGTCAGCGAGTATCTTACAGACACATTCAGTATATCTGCTGCTTTTTAAATATGTTAAAGCTCCGGTATGTTGGGTGTAGAAAACAGAAGAACTGCTTCGCTCATGAACAGGTTGGACAGAAACAGAACTTCTGAATGCACGACTTCTAATCATCCATCCATCATCTATACACCGCTTAATCCTCATTAGGGTCATGGGGGGCTGGAGTCTATCCCAGCCGACTTAGGGCGAAGGCAGGGGACACCCTGGACAGGTTGCCAGTCTATCACAGGGCAACTTCTAATCAAGTTTACTTAAATGTCTTGAAGGTTTGGTTCACTGAGGTGTAGTTAAAGTTCAAACCAGTCTGCTAGTGTGATTATCCCAGATGTTAGCCATGAACTTAGTGAACACGAGTACTCTCATTAGAACCAAGTGGAACAATGAGCAGCTACATACATACACGTCTATTCAGCAAACATCAATAAGCATCATAGTTTAAGGACTGGACTGGAAAAAAATGCATTTTGGCAAAATTAGTGTTTTTTTTTTAGTGAGGAAAAGTTCAGATTAAAATATGTTCAGTCCACAAACTGCACTGACCTACCACCTATTTAATGATTGGCAGCCTAAACACCAGTTTTTAGGTTGATTACTCACGAAAATGAAGCTGATTTAATTTGTATTTCCACAATATTTAAAAGATTTGTACGTGTTTTGGACTCAATTACCAGATTTCTGAAGTTTTCAAGCTGAGAAATAAAAAAAACTGACAACAGTTAAAGGACGGGGCTTCAAATAATGACATTAAGGTGAAAAAATCAAGCTAATAATTCAGTTTCATGAAGCTACATCAACTTGAACTAATGCAGAAATATGAATTTAAACTACACAATATTAAGTTGATGCAATTACCAGTGTTAGTATGTCAACCTGACTCATTGTTTTGCATTTGATGGGCAGGTTTTTAGATTTCTGAACTGAAGCTCGTATGGAGCCAGCTCTGCCTCCAGATCATCAAAACTGAGTCTAAAGCTGCTGATTTATAAAATGTGCTGCTGTTTTTATAGTATATTTGTGTGTTTTTGTCAACTTGACTCACTGTTTACAACTTGAAAGGTTTGCTTCCATCAGTAAATTAGATGTTGGAACATTTTTAAGATTTCTGAATGACTTTTTCTCGTCAACTGAAGCTTGTATGGAGCCAGTTCTGCCTTCAGATCATCAAAACTGAGTCTAAAAGTGTTAATCCATGAAATGTGTTGTTGTTTTTGTTGCATATTTGTGTGTTTTTGTGCGTCCGTCTCACTTGTTGCGGCAGTACAGCGCCATGCACAGGGTCCCCAGGAGGCTGATCGCCATGGCGATGGAGGTGATGGACACCACCTGCCTCTTGTAGACCTCTTTGCTCTCTGCGGAGAAACGAAACACAGGAAGGAGGAAACGTGTGAGGAGCGCATCAGCCAGGAAGGAGGAACAGAAACAGAAGAAGAAGAAGAAACTGTGTGAGTAAATGTGTGCGTAGATCCCAGAGTCAATATTCACAGAGACACAGTTAATACTAAATTAATTCTGCACAGCCGTCTCGCCATAACACGGAATTAAACATGGTTCTGAGATTTGTTTTACCCACTTCTTAATTTCTAACGCTGTTGTTTACAGCACCCAGACAGCCATTTTACATCAGCAAACACCCGCAGCAGCGTCTCTCTGGGGCTTTTCTCCGTCTATCTGCCTTCCGCATTCTTTCAAGTGTAAGTGTAATTACTTCAGTGATGAATAAACCGAATAAAACAACAACTCAAAACCCATTTAGGGTAAACAAACACCTATCCGCGGCCCTCCCGCAACACCCGCTATTCTTAGTTACCGCTCAGCTCGTTTTATCGGCTCCGGCACGTCGAGTAATGGTCCGGCGGACACCAGAAATGGATGCCACATGTAATGGAGCTTGAATACACGGAGACAAGAAGAGTTATGGCGCGGAGGGACGCCATTAGTGGAGAAAAATGGAAGCTGTCTTGTTTGTTCCGAACAAGTAAATCATAGTTGCCTTCGGATACATTAATAGGTGATCAATCAGGCTTTATTTAGCGACGCTCAGACCTTGGAAAACCGCGACGGCGACAGGTGTTGGGCTTTTCACATCCAGATGATTGAGACGGAGCGACACCGCGGACGGGTTCCAACGGACGATTTGGCGGGAAAAAAAATTATCTGAAAATTACTGGCGGGAACGAAACCGCTCAGAGAAACAGGACGACGCCTTGCTCGAGGGCGTCCTGGCAGCAGCCGGGGAAGGAAAAGTGTCAGAAGTTCACGAAAAGATCAAAATATTAAAGACGAGTTTAATCCTGCAGCCTTCAGGTCAGAACCAGACGCTGCAGAACCGTCACACACGCAGGACTTCCCTAAAAATAAGAAATGTCACAGAGCTTATCAGTGTGTTTTCCCTGTTTTGTGAAAGTAAACACAATATCCAGAAAAATGAATCTTAATTAACATGTTAAATGTATAAAAAACTAACAAATATATGCATATATTTAATATGATATAATTAATATAAAAAATTGAAACGATAATTATATTATTGTTATGAAAAACGAAAAAACAATAACAAAAATACAATTATTTAATAATTAAATATAAAACTGCTGCTTTCACATTTCTGTTTAGATTTGACTGCATTTTATTTTGTTACATTATGAATAATATTGAGTGAAATCACAGAAAAAAGTCTTGATTTACGTGCTGATCACAACAAAACAGACAAACATATATGTTTATAATCAATAACAACACAATGGGTAATTATTAGTAATCATAAACACCAATTATTGATGAGCTTAAAATTAGAATTCTGACTAATTAAATAAAATATAAAACACTAATCTGCATTTTATTTTGTCAAATTAATGATAATATCGAGCAAATATGCAGAAAAAAGTCTTAATTTACATCATAAAACACACAAATGTGTATAATTACAACAAACAATATAACAAATATAACAATAATATAATATGTAAATTATTAATAATCATATTGTATATTTATAATAATTATTTGTAATATTGATAATAATATTGGTGAATAATTAAAATACTATATTGCTGCTTTTGCACTCCTTAAATTACTGATAATAAAAAACAAAAAACAAACAAAAAAGCAGGTCTTTAATAAATGCGTATTTCTTCTTTTACATTTTTTGAAAGTTGAGTTATTTTTACTGTATTTAATTCAGCAGAATTTTTATTTTATTTTATTTTTTTCTCATCATTTGAAAGAAAAGTGTATATTATATTATTTTTTGTTAAATTACAGATAATATCAAATAAAATCACATTAAAAACCTACAAACAAATTGGTAAAAACTTTTTTTTTTTTTTAAATGTCAAAAATCTGTATTACTTCCTGTGTTAATGTGTTCTTAAAAATACCTTTTAAATTTTTGAATTAAAAGTTNAATTTAAACTATAATTATATTATTGTTAGAAATAACTAAAAAACAATAACAAAAATACAATTATTTAATAATTAAAAAATAAGACTGCTGCTTTCACATTTCTGTTTAGATTTGACTGCATTTTATTTTGTTAAATTACTGATAATATTGAGTAAAATGACAGAAAGAAGTCTTGATTTACGTTCTGATCACAACAAAACAGACAAACATGTATGTTTATAATCAATAATAATACAATGGGTAATTATTAATAATCATAAACACCAATTATTCATGAGATTAAAATTAGAATTCTGATTAATTCATTACAATATAACGCAAATCTGCATTTTATTTTGTTAAATTAATGATAATATCGAGTAAATATGCAGAAAAAAGTCTTAATTTACATCATAAAACACACAAATATATAGAATTCTGACAAACAATATAACTGTAAATTATTAATAATCATTTTATATATTTATAAGTATTAGTAATATTGATAATATTATTGGTGATTAATTAAAATATTATATTGCTGCTTTTGCACTCGTTAAATTGCTGATAATATCTTCTGATAAATCGCAGCAAAGGATCTTAATTTACATGTAAAAAAACAAAAACGAACATATAATCATACAAACCACAAGAAACAAACAAAAAAGCAGGTCTTTAATAAATGCTTATTTCTTCTTTTACATTATTTGAAAGTTGAGCTATTTTTACTGTATTTAATTCAGCAGAAATCTTATTTTATTTTAGTTTTTTCTCATCATTTGAAAGAAAAGTGTATATTATATTATTTTATTATTATTGTATTCTTCTATTCTATTAAGTATATTAAAGACTAAATATTACATATACTAAATAAATAGTAAGCATTTTAACTCGTCCTTTTACAAAATGTTTTCCTTTATTTAAATCATCTCAAATTTAATTATTCACAGATTTAAGTTTCTGACTGTTCCACTATTTGACCGTCTAACTTCGCTATTTGCTGCCAGATGTTTTGGACCCGATCAGTCTGTTTCACTGCGTCTTGTTCTCACTGTTTCTGTTTCTTTCTCTGTGAGTTCTGAACTTTTTCTCTCCTCTGATGCAGATTTTTCCTTCGCCGAGGCGAAGCTGAGTCGTGATTTCACTCCTGTTTGTCTCTGAGCGAGATTATGTAAAAACTACGGAGCTGAACTTCTGGAAACTTGCTGCAGTGATGGATCACGGGCCTGAAGTTCTGCTTCCACGTTCTTTCATGTTGTGCGTTTGGGGCAGCGTCCTGAACTCTCCCAGTCTGCTCATGAGTTCACTCCACTGCCCTGAAACTGCTGCACTTCTATAAATGCTAGAAAACGCCCGATGGAAGTCTCCGTCTTTATTTTGTGGTGCTGACAGAGAAGGAATCACAATAAAGAGGCTGAAGTTTAATTCTGTCCAACATGTGCAGCGCTGCGGGGGGAGTTTCTACGTTTTCAAAGTCCTCCCTGCGGTTTGTAACGCAGGTTAAATAAACGTCAGAATCAAAGACAGAACCAGAGCTGGTTGGGATGTTTCCTGAAACTCTCTGCAGGCTGAAATATGGATTTTTAGTCATGAGCTTGGTTCACCTGCTTCCTTCAGGGCATCTGATGGAGTTTATCAGGAGATCAGAGCAGCTGTGTGTTCGTCCACTGATCGATCTCTGACGGCAACGTTCACTGATCGAACCCAGACACTGAACGCATCACGGCAGCAAGTCCACTCTTAGTTTTCATATTATTGTTATAGTATATTTATTATTTTACTATTTTTTGTTAAATTACAGATAATGTTAAATAAAATCACGTTAAAAACAAACAAACAAATTGGTAAAAACTATTTTTTTTTAAAAAGTTAAAAATCTGTATTACTTCCAGTGTTAATGTGTTCTTAAAAATATCTTTTTAATTTTTAATTAAAAGTTTTTAACATGTATTTGCTGATATTTTACTGAGTTTTTACTGCTTTAAATTTGACATTATTCCACTTTTTAAACCGCGTTTTTTTCTGCCAAATTTTCACTTTTTAAATAAAGATTTTTTTTTTAAATTAAAGAAATACTAAAAAAAAGTCTGTATTTCTTAATATATGGTAACGTATTCTGTTCAGTGTTTTTACATCACATGCTATTTAATCTTTTATTTATTTCTTAATTTTACAATATGCGACTGTAAAATTGCAGCTACACTGGATTTAAATCAGTTGTTGTTATTTACTCTAGCTTTACACTTTTAGAAAGTCAGAGTACTCTTCACATACACATTAAAAAATTAATAAAATAAAAAAGTTTTATAATGAAATATAAATCTAATCAAATCATATTTCTGTATTTTTTAAACAACTGGTGTTGAACTCAATAACATTTAAGCATTAAAATTACATTTTAAAAAAAAGCAGTGTTTAATTTATCAGAAATAAAGCAGAAATTGATTTATGTATTTTTTTTACAATGTGTGATTGTAAAGTTACACGACTGTACTGTGTCTGAATCAACAAAAAAAATACATTATTTAACAGAAATTTACCATTAATTTTACATTATTTTTTTACAGTTTAGAACATGATATAATTCAACATTTTTTAACATATTTTTTCAGGCAGATCTTCAAAGTGCACGTACATTTATTTTTTGTTTGTTTGTTTAAAAGATAAAATAAATCTAAAATATCGAATTATAAATATCTGGTAATCTGCTCTGTACAACATTGTATATTAATAAATATTTATATTTCATGAAGTGATTTGTTCTTTTACAGTGTGTGACAGCAGCATGACGATTTTACTGGATTTAAATCAGCAAATAACAGCATTATTCCATTGATATTTGTTTTTATTATTATTATTATTTTAACGTTATTTTCTGGAACTCGCTGTCAGAGTTTCGCCTTTTTGTCTTTTAACAGAACAATGAAAACAAACACTGAAGACGTGGAACTGAACCGAGCAACTGAA